CCGCATAACGCGAGGTCACGAGAAATCTCCTGAGAGAACCTAAAGAAGAAGAAGAAAAAGAAGAAGAAGATAAAGAAGAAGAAGAAGATGATGATGATGATGATGAAAAAGGAATAGAGAAGAAGGGATGGAAGAGAATCGTGATGTCGGACTACCTGTATAAGATATCCGTTTACTTTCGTACGAAGTACAGGTTACACATCATAGTGAAATAGTAAGAAAGACATAGAAAGAGAAATATATACATGTATATATATATATATACATATAGTTCGTGTGAATCAATCGTTTGTCATAAATACGCGATAACATGGTATCTGTCCAAATCTTCGAATCTTTATATCCATATATATATATATATATTTTTTTTTTTGTTTTTCTTTCCAAGTTCATGCCACCTGTGACTATCGTCGTTTCCCAGGAATGCGTTCAAGATGTGGCATCGTGCAATTAATATAATTGTAGGTTATAAGAGAAAAGTGATTATTATAATGATACACCAGAGTCTTAGCGGTAACGTTAACTCTCCACGTTAATGGATTCATGATATCGGACTTGGTTCAAAGAGCGCGAGCTTTTAATATCTGATAATTACAAAGCGTAGATACGATAGCGTATATACCGAAGAGATAAAACATTTAGATAAAATTGTCACCGATGTACCTATCCATATGCAGGTATATATAGGACGTATATATTTATATAGGTACGTATGTATGTATCTCTCTCTCTCTCTCTCTCTCTCTCTCTCTCTCTCTCTCTCTCTCTCTGTATGTGTAGACATACTATGTGCGTGGGATGGTCCGGCTCACGATGGGTCCAAGTACGAGTTACTTTCCTTTTAATAGATCCTTCGGATAAGTGCGTCGAGTAAAGAGGATTATCCTTTACTTCGAAGGAAGTGCGATCGATCGCGCGTAGGCGTAATTGCGAGTGATTAATCGATCGGACGTCTGTGGAAGTGAGAAACTGGTCACGTGTAGGTATGTGATCGTCTTTCTTAGATAATATTAACATTTAAAAAAAAAAAAGAGAAAGAGAGAGAGAGAGAGAGAGAGAGAGAGAGAGAGAGAAAGAAAAGAATTTCTTCAAATTGGTAATTCCTCGCTTTGTTATTATAAAGGAGGAAAAATCACGAAGGGATCGCGTGAGTGGATCTTCCTAACGGAAACTTCGCGTGGGATCTATCGATCGGACATGTAATCGTACTTGGGATGCCCTCAATTTCATTGATCCCATACGATTGTACATGTACATACTTATCTTTCAAAACTTTATCGTTACCTCTGGCGAATTTATCTTTTCTTTTCTTCTTCCATTTTTCCTTTTTTCTTCTTTTATATATATAAAGAATTTAGTATCAGCCGTGCAAGTAATCGCGTTCACTTCCTTTCCTCTATTTTGAAAAAAAAAAAAAAAGTTATAGTAAATCGTGATTTATTAGGTATCGTTATATCTTGTATATAGGAAAAAGTAGAAGAGTAAATAATTATCTATATCGCAATATACGGCGAGGACGAAAATTCTGCTGGTAGATATCTTCTGGTGGGGTTGGCTCTACCTGGCGGCCGATAGCACGATGGGTTCCGTGCACGCGCGCTACGGAGTCTCTCCAGTCAGCGAAGAGCGCTCTAACGCGAAGGACGTGGGAAAGATCGATTCGCGTTGAAATTTGTATTTCTCGATTCCTACGATCGCGTTTTTATTTTCGTTTACAGCTGCGAGGACTACTTGTCTATATATATATATATATATACACACACACACATACACATATATATATATATATGTATATATAAATATATACATTTATAACGTGATAACTTTTATCTAACTTTAATGTATCTCTTTAATCGATCCGCGATCATTGATTAATGATCGATAAAGATGATCGATTATATGGATTAATGTTACAAGTGAAAAACTTTAGTAATAGTGATTAAGCATTCGTGTGATCCTTGATCGAACGAAATAAAAAACTCAATCGGATTGTTCGCTTTAAAACGAAATCTATAAAAGTTTTGAAAAAGTTTGACGAATTTTTTCTCTTTTTTTTTTTTTATATATATATATATATATATATTGTAGAAAACAAAAAAAAAGAAAAAGAAATGAGGAGATAAAAAATCGATATAGTTATGTATAACGAGTACCACCATCACCACCACCACCACCACCACCACCACCATTAACACCACCAACTCGATCCCTACGTTCTTTCCACTCGAGCAGAATAAAAAAAGCAAGCGAAGGAAGAACTTACTGCGGTACGGTAAAACGCACGTTCGAAAGAGTCTCTCGAGACTAATACTCTCGATTCGATCGCACGATCGATTCTCTCGTCGTGACGTCGATACTTCCGATAAGGCATCTGAAATCGAGCGGAAGATATTCTATCTGAAAGAAGATCACGATGAGAGCGAGAGGGTAAAGGAACAAGTAAAAGTATAAGTACAAGAGGAGGAGGAGGAGGAGGAGGAAGAAGAAGAAGAAAAAGAAGAAGAAGAAGAAGAAAAAGTAAAAGAAGAAGTTAAAGAAAAAAAAAGAAAAAGTAATAGTAGAAGAGAACAAGGACGGTGACAACGACAACGACGAAGAAGAAGGAACAAGAGGAACAAGAGAAAAAGAGAAAGACGATAAGGGAAAAAGAAAGAGAGAAAGAGAGAGAGAGAGAGAGAGAGAGAGAGAGTGAGTGTGAGAGAAAGAAAGAGGAAAAGGAGCAGGAAGGAAAGAGAGAGAAAGGTCGACGAACCATCGTTGGGAAAAGAAGAGAGTGCCAAAATTAGTGGGGAGACGTCTCTCGTGTGTGACCTTGACCTGTGTTGAGCCACGAAAGTCACCCTCTTCCGGTATATCTACTATTCCTCTTGTGACACCACTTATATCGTTGTTTCTCTCTCTCTCTCTCTCTCTCTCTATTTCTCTTTCCCTCTTATCCTCTCCCCTTCTCCCATTATATATCTCTCTTTCTCTTTTCCTCTCTTTCGCATTTACGTTCTCCACATCTCTTTCGTCTCCCATCTTTCTCATTTTCTCTTTCTCCCTCTATCTCTCTCTCTCTCTCTCTCTCTCTCTCTCTCTCTCTCTCTATCTTTCTCTATCTCTCTCTGTCTTATACACTGACTTTCTTTCGTTCGTTCGGTTGACCACGTTCGACGCATACATCTGGAAGGAAGCTCTCGAAGGGGCGACAGGCGAGGAGAACGGAGATGCGCCATTTTCGAGAAGCGATGCGAAGAGAAGGTGAACGATCCTTGGAGCGTTTTGCCGCAGACCGGTAATGGGATACCAGAGGTGACGGCAAGATGAACGGTCACGGTTCCACCAATGAGGTACACCTTCTTCGTCTCTCTTGCGTATAATACCGTTTGCCTTTCTTTCCCTCCCCCCCCCTACCCATCCCCTTTTACTTATGCTCTCTTACATTTTTCCTATTATTCTTTATTGCTTTATTTTGTTTGCATTTCTTTTCTTTTCTTTTCTTTTTTCTTCTTCTTCTTCTTCTTCTTCTTCTTCTTTTTATCTATTACATTTTCTTCTGTCTCGCGTAAAACTATACGTATGTATGAATTTTCTCGTCTTTTCTCCTTCGAACTCTTTTTTTTTCTTTCCCTCTCTCTTTCTCTCTCTCTCTCTCTCTCTTTCTGTCTGTCTGTTTCTTATCCAGAATAAAGAGAGAGAGAGAGAGAGAGAGAGAGAGAGAGAAACAGGCAATACGAGACGTTCTCTCTTCTTATTGCCGTTCTAAATTCGCCCGCTACACGAGTGGCGAGTGTCTACACACATGCGCGCGTGCGCCCAAGGAGAAAAGAGAAATTCCATTCGATCTCGACGATAGCAGTTGGCCGAACGGTAACAACGACGTCGCATTCTCATAGTACAGCTTTTATGCGATAATAAAGCATCCTCCAGGCATGTTTCCCGATACTTTCGATATTTCACAAATGAAATATCTGTTGAAAACTTTTTTCCGGAACGATCCAAGTTGAGACGCTTGAATGACGTCAATGAGTATACTACTTGTATTGAAAGTACAGTTCACAAAAGATAAAAATTGTTTGATCCATTTAATCCGTTGAATTCAGTTCAATTAGAAAATATGATTTAAGATAGATTGATAAAACATTGACAGAATTTTTATCTGCTTTTTTTTTTTTTTTTTTTTTTTTTTATAGTAAAAGCGATTGCTCTTTATAAAGAGAGAGAGAGAGAGAGAGAGAGTGAGAGAGTATAGAAAACGAAAAGGGAAAATAACGATAAAGTCTAATCTCTTAATTCGTTTGTTTATTTTACGAAGTTCGTCGACAGAGCGACAAGCGAGATAATGGAGGAGCGTCGTGCGAGATTCGCGTCATTTAACGGCCTACATTAAAGCGACGCAATTAAGCGAAGAAACCACGATGCCGGAATATCGAATTAATTCGACGATAGGCGCCGACAAAAATTTTATGCCCTTTTAGCGTAATTAGTTCCGGAGAAAAGAGCGAAGAAAGAGAAAAAAAAAAAAAAGAAAAAGAAAAGATGGGTTGCGTCAGAGAGAAGGGATGAATGTGAGAAAATGACAGGGAGTTAGAAAAAGGGAGAAAGAAATGATCAGAAAAAGAAAAGAAAAAAAAAAAGAAAAAAAAAAGAACGAAAAGAAAAAAGAAAAAAGAATAGGAAGAAGAGAAAAATAAATAAAAATCGTTAAAATCGACCGTTAAAATGAAAGGATCGTCTTCGAAATGCCGCGCTCGTAAAAGATTCGCTTGCCGTCTGCAACCGACAAGGTGATTATATATATATATATATATATATATATTTTTTTTCTTTTTTTTTTCTTTTTTTTTTTTACCTCTTTTACGTCGTACCTCGCGATTTCCAAGAAGAAGGTTACGTTTGAAGGAAAGAGAACGTTGAAAGAGATAGGAAGTCGAAGAGAAAGAAAGAAAGAGAGAGAAGGAGGACCTCCTCCGATAACGCCTCTTACCGATTAGATAACGCTCGCTGACAGGTACGGCACTGTTTCCGTGTCGAAAGGCGCGAATTCGCGTTAGGCCATTATACCTCCATGATATTTCGCTTTTATTCTTATTCTCATTCTCATTCTTATTCTTATTCTTATTTCTATTCTTCTTCTTCTTCTTCTTCTTCTTCTTATTATTATTATTATTATTATTATTATTATTATTCTTCGAAAGAAGGAACGAACGAGTTCTTCTTTTTTGGCGCTCGACCGAGAACGAAATATTAGCGATCCGTTTGCCCAAGAGAAAAGATAGAACGCAAACTGGTTCCTCGTGGAATTTCTCCACGAGGAGGATGGCACAAGAGACACGTCATCGATATCTTCTTCTTCTTCTTCTTCTTCTTCTTCTTCTTCTTCCTTTTCTTTTTCTTTTACTTTTTTTTTCTTCTTCTTCTTCTTCTTCTTCTATTCTTCTTTTTTTATTCCTTCATCCGCCAGTTCGAACAAAGCCACAGCTTTTACAATCAGCTCTAATCTCTATGAATATTAACTTTCTGCCCTCTTTATTATTACCCTTTATCTTTTTTCTGTTTTTTTTTTTTTTTTTTTATTTTCTTTTTCTTTTTTCTTTCTTTCCTTCTTTTTATTTCGTTCACTTAAAATCCTCTTTCACGTTGTCTATGCCCGATTCTTTTCATTTTTGTTCTCTTCCTTTTTATTTTTATTTTTACTCTTTTTCTTCTCCTTTTTTTTCTTTGTTAACTAGAAAAATTCTACATATCGTTCCAGGTAAATTGTTCGTTCTGATGGAAATGTGATATTTTGTAATAAAAAAAAAAAAAAAAAAAAAAAAAAAAATAGAAAAAAAAAGGAGAAAGAAAAAAAAAGAGAAATAGAAAAGAATTGTTATACAATGGCATCCTAAAAAAAAAAAAAAAAAAAAAATATTGAAACAGATTCGACATTTGCGTTCGAAAAATTAATATTTATTTTCAAACCGATTGATAAATTGTGGCATTGAGAAATTTGTAAAATACACGTAAATATCGTTTGGAAACAAATTAAACTAATAGAAATAGTGACATTTGGGAAAAAAAAAAAAAAACAAAAAAGAAAAAAAATATTTGGACAGATTCGATTAGTGTCGATCGCGCCAATGGATTTTATAATTTTATTTTAAATTGATATAACAAACATTTGTCCACCGTAAGAACTTTCGAAATTATTCTTCAATTAAAATGAATACATATATTTCCCTTATTTAATCTCTTTACCGTGAAATCGATTGAGCGATATCGAGGACATGGGGCGTTGCAAGGGTGGGGGACGGGGCGGCGGGGGGTGGGGGAGCAGGGGTTAGCGAGAGGGGGAGACAGGTTGGGGTGGGATGGGAGGAAGGAACGAAAGAAGAAGAAAAAACGATTCTGGCAAAAAGCCATGCACGAATAAAGGAGAAAAGCGTGTCGCGGCTCTTGTGGACTCTTTTCATGTGCGTGCACGCAATAGCAAGTGAAACAGCACGAAGATTTCCCTTCCCCCCTCCCTCCACCTACCCCTCCCCCCGTTGGTTAGTTTTCATTCCCACAACTTATGTAGCTTAACCGCGATAGCTTCTTCATTTAACTCGATTCGATTCAATTCGATACGTTTCAATTCGATTCGATTCGATTCGATTCGATTCGATTCGATTCGATTCGATTCGATCAGACTCGAATCGGTTTCTTTCGTTTCCGTACGTACGATGGACTCGTAACTCTATTTTTTTTTCTTTTTTCTGTTTTTTTTTTTTTTTTTTTTTTTTTTTTTTTTTTTTTTTTTTTTTTTTTTTATATAAATCATTGAAAATAAATCGATTCCGTGATTTTTCCGGTAGCCACGTACTTAACCGGAAGTTTAGGAATATTCACGCCGCGTTATCTCTCATTGGTCCAGTTATTAAATGAAGCCATTACGTTACTGTACTCTCCTTATCTGCTCTTAAGTATATTTCGAAACGATGCTCTACGTTCGATAAATCGCAAGATCGTAATTAAAGAACTTGATTCAAGCTTTTGATATCAGCTCGTTAGAAACGATTTCGAACGATTTATAAACGAAACGACGATATTTTTTAATAAAATTTTTCATCTCTTTAAGAAACATATGATATCTATGATTGTCGAAAGGAGTTTGATGTGAGAAACGGGTTGAAAAATATGAAAGATATTTTTTAATTATATTATTATAATGATACACTTTGAGATTCGAGATGTTGATACCAAAGAAGAAAGAAAAAGAGAGAGAGAGAGAGAGAGAGAGAGAGAGAGAGAGAGAGAGAGAGAGAAAGAGGGAGAGAGAGAAAAAGGAAGAGAGAGAGAGGAAGATATAAAGAAAGTGTACATTTTATAAAAATCGATTTCGAAGGTGAGAAGAAGTGGCATAATCACGAATAAGAATCAAAGTGACGGCGGTATTTTTTTGGCGCCATAAATCTTACGTAATTGTGCCCAATTAATTTCTATGCAAATGAGGCAAAATGTGAAAGACTGCGCAAACAGACAGAGAGAGAGAGA